CTCCTCAAGGGGGCTGCTCTACAGTGGTGAGGGCCTGCTTACACAGCAGACCCTACATCTGCACATCTGCAGAAGTGCTGCTGGGGGCTGATCAAGATCTCAGCCCCCTCTCTCCTCCAACTGGCTGCTGGAGCGAAGACCAAGACCCTCCTGGTCTTGGTGTACCTTGTGCCCTTGGAGACACCAAGGGCCAAGTATCACTCCCTTCTTCTCCCCTTCCTCTACTAACCCACTCTCCCTACCTCTCCTCTCTCCTCTTACTCACCCCTTCTCTTCTCCCCACCTTCCACTGCATCTTTTCTCTCCTCCTTTTATCTTCCTCACCCCACCTTTCTCCCAACACCCATTCTTTTACTCTCCTTTCTTTATTTCTTTTCTTTTCTTCCTCCTTCTTTTCTCTTTGCCTCTTGATCCCTGTCCACCTTTCCCCATCCCTCCTCTCCCCCAACTACCACCACACCATCCCCCCCTACCTCCCACTTCATCTTTTTCTCTCCCCCCACCTATTTCTTTCTTTTCTCCCTCACTTTTCATTCCCCTTCCCCCCTACTTTGAAAATATTTCTGTTTTTTTTCTTTCCACCTCTCTTTTGATTTATCTTTTATCTTTTCCAAAAATTCGAAATCTCTTCTTTCCTACCCTCTTTTCTGATTTTCTGATTCATTTCATTTATTTTTCTATTTATTCTGAAAATTCGATTTTCTCTACGGCAACCCTAAATCTGACTAGTTGTTAGTTTTCTCATCTTTTTCCCCACCCTCTTTTCTTATTTTCGGATTTATTTCATTTATTTTGATTTATTCTGAAAATTCGAATTTCTTGGCGGCAACCCTAAATCTGATTAGGTGTTAGCCTTTCTTGCTTTCGGCACACGTTTTGACCCCGTGGGGGTAATGAAGTACTGCCGAAATTTTCTGATTTTCTCTTACTTACTCTTTTCGGCACACTTCGACCCCATGGGGGTAACGAAATGCTGCCAAAATTTTTGAAAAAAAAAAAATTAAAAAATATATATATAACCCATTTCTCCCCACCTCCTCACACACTTATTTACTTATTTATTTATTTATTATTATTTTATTTATTTTCTGAAATTTCTTTTTTATTATTTGCGGCATCTCTAGTGTGCTCACCTCGGTCTCTCCTTTTCCCTTGGCACATTCCTGACCCCGTGGGGGGTAGGGAACTGCTGCAGAAAAAAAATTCAAAAAAATAAATATTGTTTCCCTTCACATCTCTCTACTTATTTCTTTAATTATTTTTATTATTTATTTATTTTCTTATTTATTTTTATTTTCTCTTGAAATATCGCTGTTTATTTATTTTTCTCCCGTCTCCCCCCCCCCTATGCTTGCTATTTTACTTTCTTGATTAGGTCACCGGTACCCTACCCTAGCCACTTAAACCTCGGTTAGGGTTTTCTTAGGGTTTTTGTAGGGTTAATGGTTCCCCAAAACCCCCCTACTTCCCCGTCCTCTTCGGACACCCTGGACCCGAACCACCTCTCCCTCTTTGACGCCCCCTACTTCCCTGTCCTCTTCGGGCACCCTGGACCCGAACCACCCGTCCCCCTTTGACGACGCCCATGCTAGCCTTGCTAGCGCCGTTCACCGCTTTCTACCTCGGACCTCTTCTAGCCCCCTCCAGTCCGGTCCATCATCTCCCCATGGCCGACGGTGCGTCGCACGCCGCCGACACGGCGATGACCACGACATCGGGCTCCACACCCGTGCCGGCGGACCAGGGTCATCAGTCCCAGGGGGATCTACACACCCTCCTCACCTCCCTCCTTGCGCCCATCCAGGCGCAACTCGCGACCCTTGCGCCCATCCAGGCGCAACTCGTGAACCTCGCGCCCTTACAGGCGCAGGTGGCGACCCTTGCCGCCGGCATGCAGCAACTCCAGGACTCTGCGTGTCCGTCATCTTCTGGCTCCCAGTCCGGGTCCCCCGTCTTCCGACAGGGTGGCCACGGCGGAGCTTCCTCCTCCGTTGCCCCTGACCCGGCCAACTTGGTGACTATCCACGCCCCTAGCACGACGGCCGCCACGAGCCAGGCCCCCCTCAGTCTACGGGCGCACCCGCCCAGATCCCGGTCACTACGGCCACGGTACAACAACCCGCTACCATGGTCTGAGCTTTTCCGGGTGCCCCGCTTCTCCCTCCCCTTCGCACGACCGCAGCGCCACCTGGCTCTCCCCCCTCTAGGAGGCCCCGCGCCGCTTGTGCGTCCACCCCCTCCACTCTTGCTCCTGCCACCCCTCGATCGATCTACGTTCGAGGTCTAGCGGACGAGATTGCCCAACTCCGGGCCGACCTCGCCCTCTTACGCCTTCATCCACCCCTTCCCTCACAGGTGGCCGCGCCTTCGGGCGCACCCCCTACCTCCTCTACCATTCCTCCCATGCAGGCTCGCTTTCCGCGCCCTGCACCCTATACAACTCCTTCCTACCTTCCTCTCACTCCCGCAGTTGCTGCGACCTCTTCTACCGCAACACCCTCGCAGCCTGCCGCTGTTGCCATCGCCACTCCCCCATGCGACCCGGGCACACAGTCAGCTGCGCCCCTTTCTCCAGGACCTGCGCCGACTTACTCAGTCGTGGCACAGGCCTCCGCTCCTCGATCCCCTTGCCGCCAAAACGGTGGCGCACCACTCATCCGCTTGTCGGACATTGCCTTGTATGACGGTACAGGCATACGCGTGTCTCAGGGGCTGCAGTCTGCCACCCGCACACTCCAACTCATGGGCGCCACACCCGAGACGTGGGTGGGTCACCTCTCCACGCGCCTGCGTGGCGGTCCTTTCGAGGCCTGGGAGGATTTCTATGCCTACTCCCTTCGTGAGGGTCGGACTCCGACCTTCGTGGATTTCCAGGCGTTCCTCGAGGATCGGTTCGGAGCCCGATACAACGTGACTGATGCCTTCGAGCCTTTCGTCACTACACGCTGGTCCGGCTCTGGTGGCGCTGCCGGCCTGGATCGCCACATCCAGGTCTTTCAGGAAGCCCGCCTCGTTTGCGACGTGGCGTTCCTCCCCGAGGCTGCCCTTATCGATCGTTTCTTGGCYAGCCTTCCGCTCGAGTACCGYTCCGAGCTATGGCGGTACGAGTTCACAYCGGCCCCACAGGCTTACGAGGCCGCCAGGGACCACCAGCGGATGCGAGCCCGTCTTCACCCTGCCTCCTCCTCCCAGCCCCAGCGCACGGGCTATGCCTCTTCCTCTCACGGCACTTCCCAGCGCCGTTCCCCTTTCCGCGGTCGCCCCCGCCGTTCCACGCAGCAGGGCCGCCACTTCTCGCACCGCTTCAGCACACTGGAGTATGGTGAGCAGGACGTTGTTGCCCCACTGTCATCTGAGGGCGACCACAGCGACAACCTCGATCTCTGCGAGGCCGTCCACTATCACTTGGAGGACTCTACCCTCCCTGCAGCTGAGCGCCTTCAGCTCGCGCTCTCTGCCCTCTCTCGGGCACGCAGCCGCCCCGGTCACGCTGGCGCATCGCCCTCCGAGGTCCCTCAGGAGGACCTCCCTCAGGGCTTCGTCCCTCCTCGTGGTGTCCTTTCCCCTGAGGAGCGCGCGCCTATTCTGGGCCGGCGTGGGTGTTTGCGCTGCCGCTTGGACGGTCATACCACCTCGCGGTGCCCTCACACTACCGCCCTCGACCGCCACTACGCTGACCTTTCTCGTCAGCGTCGTGCTCAGTCCCCCCCCGGCGCCTCACGTCCCCGCGGCACCTCCTAGCCACGGTGAAGTGTACACCTGCGCCCTCCTCAGTAGTGGGCTTCCCAACATCTTCGTGCGGTTCGCCCCTCTCGTTACTTGAGTTGAGGAATCGCAGGACTCGACACAGTGCACTCAGCCCTCTGTCGCAGTGCCGTCTGCGCCTTCGCAGACCACCGTCTCCCCTCCTCCCCCGCCGCGACTACCGACGCGTCGAGCCATTCGCTCAGCCCGTTGCAGCGAGCAGCTTGCTACTCGCGAGGACGTTGTGTCCTCTCTTCTGGACTTGAGCATGCTCCAGGCTCGTCAGGAGCGACTGACCCTCAATGTCGCTGCACTGCGTCGCCTTCTCGCCATCCTCTCTGACCCTGATCGCACCCTCCCGATCATCCCCGTACGACTCGGGACCTCCACAAGGGTGTACTCAGCGCTTTGGGATTCCGGTTCGGAGGGCGATTTCATTCACCCACGCATGGTGAAGGAAGCCCGCTTACCCACGACAGGGTCTCTGACTCCCATCTCCGTTACCCTAGGGGATAACAAGACCCAGCGCTTCTTCGATCAGACGGTCACCGACCTCCTCTTCTTCCTCACTCTCGAGCCGACTGAGCGTTCCCCGGCGTCTCGTTGCCACCGCTCCTCTGCACATTTCGATGTGATGGAGACGGGGTCCGACTTCATTCTCGGCACTCCGTGGTCTCGTCGATTCCCCAGCACCGAGGCCGATTGAGCGACCAACACTCTCGTTTTCAAAACGAAGTGTGGACAGACGTATCGCGTACCTTTCATAGGTACCACGACGACCTCGATCTCTGCGAGGCCATCCACTGTCACTTGGAGGACTCTACCCTCCCTGCAGCTGAGCGCCTTCAGCTCGCGCTCTCTGCCCTCTCTCGGGCACGCAGCCGCCACGGTCAGGCTGGCGCGTCGCCCTCCGAGGTCCCTCAGGAGGACCTCCCTCAGGGCTCCGTCCCTCCTCGCAGTGTCCTTTCCGTTGAGGAGCGTGCAGCTATTCTGGGCAGACGTGAGTGTTTGCCCTGCCGCTTGGACGGTCATACCTCCTCGCGGCGCCCTTACACTACCGCCCTCGACCGCCACTACGCTGACCTTTCTCGTCAGCGTCGTGCTCAGGTCCTCCCCGGTGCCTCACGTCCCCGCGGCGCCTCCTAGCCACTGTGCAGTATACACCTTCGCCCTCCTCAGTAGTGGGCTTCCCGACATCTCCGTCGCGGTTCGCCCCTCTCACTACTCGAGTTGAGGTATCACAGAACTCGACAGAGTGTACTCTGCCCTCTGTCGCAGTACCATTTGCGCCTCCGCAGACCACCGTCTCCCCTCCTTCCCCGCCAAAACTACCGACGCGTCGAGCCATTCGCTCAGCCCATTGCAGCGAGCAGCTTGCTACTCGCGAGGACGTTGTGTCCTCTCTTCTCGACTTGAGCATGCTCCTGGCTCATCAGGAGCGACTCACCCTCCATATCACTGCACTGCATCGCCTTCTCGCCATCCTCTCTGACCCTGATCGCACCCTCCCGATCATCCCAATAGGACTCGGGACCTCCATGAGGGTGTACTCAGCGCTGTGGGATTCCGGTTCTCAGGGCGACTTCATTCACCCACGCGTGGTGAAGGAAGCCCGCTTACCCACGAAAGGGTCTCCGACTCCCATCTCCGTTACCCTATGGAATGACAAGACCCAACGCTTCTTCGATCAGACGGTCACCGACCTCCCCTTCTTCCTCACTCTCGAGCCGACTGATTGTTCCCCGGCATCTCGTCGCCACCGCTCCTCTGCACATTTTTATGTGATGGAGACGGGGTACGACTTCATTCTCGGCACTCCGTGGTCTCGTCGGTTCTGCAGCACCGAGGCCGATTGGGCGACCAACACTCTCGTTCTCAAAACGAAGTGTGGACAGACGTATCGCGTACCTTTCATAGGTACTACTGCGACACCATGCCCTGATCCTCCTCCTCCGGAGCCTTCAGTGCTAACACCATCTCCCTCTATCACTGTCACCTCGTCTCGGCAATTTGCTCACTTCATTCGACAGGACAACGTCACCTTCTTTATGGTGGACGTGACGGATCTCTTACACTAAGATCCACTCTGTCCCGACGCTGAGCTCATCCCTCTGGAGCCATGTCCTCCCTCTATCTCCATGGGTCCCATTTATACTTCCGTCCCTCCGTCGTCCGTCGAGTCCACCCCGCCGTCGCGCACTGAAGCTGACGCTGAGGAACTCGCACGATATACGGCTGACCTGGAGCCCGCAGTTCATGACCTCATCCGAGAGTACCACGACGTTTTCCCATCGTCGTTCTCGTACGCCGGCATCCCACCGATGCGTGACGTCGAGCACTCCATTTAGCTTGTGCCTGACTATAGACTCTTGATCCTCGAGGCCACCGAACTCAAGCGCCAGCTTAAGGAGCTCCTGAGACTGGGTTTCATCAAATCCAGCAACTCCTCGTGGGGTGCACCCGTCCTCTTTGCTCGCAAAGCGGATGGAACTCTTCGTCTCTGCATCGACTACCGCCGTCTCAACCGCTACACGGTTAAGAACAACTACCCCATGCCTCGTTCCGATGAGTTGTTCGACCGCCTAGCAGGCAACCGCTTCTTTACGAAGATTGATCTTCCTAGCAGTTACCATCAGATCCGCGTCGCTGCAGCCGACCAACCGAAGACCGCGTTTCGATCGCGATTCGGCCACTACGAGTTCACAGTGATGCCGTTCGGCCTCACCAATGCATCCGCCACCTTTCAGAGGGCGATGAACGACATCTTCAGGGACATCCTAGAGCAGTACGTTCTCGTCTACCTCGACGATATCYTGGTCTACAGTCGCACCCTTGAGGAGCACCTCAGACACCTCCGCGATGTCCTTGACCGTTTGCGTAGACATGGCTTCTGCGCCAAGCGGAGCAAGTGCCGCTTTGCCGAGCACAAAGTGAATTTCTTAGGACACTATGTGTCTGACTAGGGTCTCTACATGGACGACGCGAAGATCACTGCTATTGCGGAGTGGCCCGCCCCCACATACGCCAAGCAGCTTCGCAGCTTTGGCGTGACCAGCTACTATAGTAACGTCATCCGGGGATGCGCTAGATATTCCTACGTCCTTACCTCCACCCTCCTCCGGAAGAGCCCACCCTGGGCTTGGACACCCCTCCACGAGGACGCCTTCCGTGCCCTCAAGAAGGCGGTGACATGCGCACCAGTTTTTCACCTACCCGATTTTGATCGCCCTTTTATCCTTACCACCGATGCGTCAGACTTTGCTATAGGAGCAGTGCTTTCTCAGGTCTTCCCCTCCTCTCCTGATTCCTCTCATCCTCGTATCCCTCACTTCCCACCACCTACCCCTACCACTGTTTCCCGACTGACGCCTACTCGTCCAGCTACTGACGAGCCCCCTATTGACTATTCTCCTACCATCGCCGAGGACGGCACTGTCGAGTCTCGCTCAGGTGATTGTCCGATAGCCTTCTACTCTCGTCAGCTCCTGCCCGCCGAGATAAACTACACTGCTGATGAACGTGAGGTTCTCGCTGTCGTTTATGCCGCTCGGCACTGGCGTCACTACCTACACGGGGCACCATTCACGGTGCGCACGGACAACTCTGTTGTCCAGGCTTTTCTGACAAAGCCGAAGCTCACTCCTCGACAGGCTCGCTGGTGGCGCGACCTATCCGAGTTTAGTTTCACCAATGAGCACATCAAGGGTGAGACTAATCAGGTCGCAGATGCCTTATCCCGGCGCCCTGACCACGGCCAGGACCACATCCGGCTCTCTTCCATCTCGGTCACCGCTGTCCACCACTCGGTGATCGACGAGTTTCGCACTCAGTACCGCCACTGCCCCGACTATCACGACATCGACGCGACCCTTCGGAGCGGCAAGACCGTCCCGAACTACTCTCTCGGGGACAACTATCTTGTGTACTGGCACGGTTCACAGGGCACCAGAGAGCCCCGTATTTGCGTTCCCTCCACTGGACAGCTACGTGTCCGAGCAGTAGCAGAGTTCCATGACGAGGCAGCCGCCGGTCATATGGGCTTCCACAAGACATTGGCTCGTGTGAACCGCCTGTACGTCTAACCGAAGCGCAAGGACTTTGTGAAGGACTATGTCGCAGAGTGTCCCACCTGTCAAGAGGTGAACAGTGTGAACCATTTGCCTTATGGTTTGCTCCAGCCTCTTCCTATCCCTGAGGGTCGTTGGCAGTCCAACTCGATGGACTTTATCGGTCCCCTTCGTCCTCCGACCCCTCACGGTCGGGATGCTATCTTGGTCGTCGTCGACCGCTTCACGAAGCGTGCACGCTTTGTTCCATGCCGCTATGCCATCAATGCACGTGAGGTCGCCGACATCGTGTTTGACCGAGTCGTGCGTGACCACGGCTTAACTCTGAGCATCATATCTGATCGTGACCCGCGCTTTACCAGCCGATTCGGGCGACGGTTCCACGAGGTGTATGGCACTCAGCTCCGATTCTCCTCGTCTTACCATCCTCAAACTGATGGTCAGATCGAGATCACGAACAGGACTTTCGGAGATATTCTCTGAAAGATTGTTCGTGACGACCAGCAGTGGGATCTCCATCTTGCTCACGCGGAGATAGCCTACAACCACGCCGTCTCGCTAGCCACGGAGATGTCGCCTTACTATTGCGACCTCGGCTATCACCCTCGTGTTCTCGCGGACTTCCTTCGACCATCCTAGCTGCACCCCGACACGAGTTGTCCCGCGTCGACGATTGGGTTGCACACATGACGTCGATCATGAAGACCGCACATGAGCACATAGCCGCTTCCCAGACTTGCATGGCAGCACGTGCGAACCGATCGAAAATGGATCGTCCATTCAAAGTCGGTGATGATGTGCTTATCGACACTCGCCACTTACAGCTCGAAGCGGACACGCTTCGCATGTTTCGGTTTCGCTTCTTTTGCCAATGCCGCATCCTCCAGGCCGTCGGTTCTGATATGGCATCTAGCCCGGTCAGCTTTCGTGTGAAGCTGCCCGACTACCTACGCTAGGCTCGTGTGCATGATGTCTACCACGTCTCGTTACTGCGTCCTTACCGTAGACCGTCTGAGCGTTTCGCTGAACGACCATACAAGCACCCTCCACCCATCATGGTGGACGGCCACGAGGAGTTCCTCGTTTCAGACGTCGCCGAGTCACAGACGACAACCCTCCCCACGTTGAGTATCTCGTACGTTGGAAGGGTTACCCTAATGAGGAGGCTACCTTGGATCCCCTCGAGCACTTGCAGCACGCTCGCATGTTGGTGCGTGCCTATGGCCGTGCTCGTCGTGCTAGGTTCACTACTCCTCCTCAGCCCACTGACCCTCCTCCTTCTCCCCCGGCTGAGGAGACCGCTGAAGTCGAGCCTGCTCCATCTGAGGCAGACCTTCAGCAGTAGCCGGATGCTTCTGAGCGCTCACAGCGCACTCGTCGTCGTCCTGCTCGATACGACGATTGACTCTGAGTTACCTTCCCATGTCCTTGACTTCTCAGTACTCCATCCACTCCAATTTTGCTACTTTGGCTCGTCGACGTTGCGGCTCTTCCTCAATGGCATTCCGGACTTCTCATCGTGGACGTTATCGGCAGCTTCATGGACTTCGTCATGATCAGCTCAGCCTACTTCAGACGTCGCCACTCTCTTACTACTTTACCCTATACAGTACCCTGCTTGTGTCGCATGATGGTCTCCCTTTAGCCGGGTTCCTCTGAGTTGGGCTCTCCCTTGGTATACGCATAGGCATCGGGACCGTAGCGTTGCCCTTGCTTCCCACCTTACGGATCTAGCTCAGACATCCCTCACTTTAGGAGTCATTTGTATGATTCCCTTACCCATCATCTTTCTACCCTTCGCCGGCCCTCACGCCCTAGTTAGGCAGCCCCGCATGCTTGATCTAGGTGCGCCCAGTATACCAGGCTCCCTTGTTCCCTTGTGTGGTCGACCCTCCATAGCGGTCATCCCTTAGTCGAGCATTACCCGCCCTGATGGTCTATCTGTTAGGGTCATTGGTTCTGTTCGCTCCCAGTTCCCTACCCTCATTGAGCGTGATGACATGTGTTTTCCCCTGTCACTATGTGTGGATGCCCTTAGGAGTTTTCGACCCCTAGGCTGCATTCGCCACCCTCAGATACCATCCCACCCTTTAGTTTGCGACACACTTCTCATGTGACATATGGTTGTCTTGTTGATTGCTTTGTTGCTCTCAGACTGAGGCTACTCCCTCCAACATTTCTAGGATTTAGCTGTTCTGTTTTTGCTGTTCTTAGGACTTATACACTAGTCAGTTGTTACTTGACTGAGGTTAGTGCCTCCAACATTCTATGATCTAGTTGTCACTACTTTCTGCTTTCCTAGGACATGTATGCTAGTTAGTTGCTTTTGCTTTCCTAGGACATGTATGTTAGTTAGTTACTTCTGCTTTAACTTAGGCTGTTAGCTGTGACATTGCTGTTTTGTGACATTTTATATCCTAGGTTGCATCGCATGGACTCAGCATGGAGCTTGCTCCGCATCYTAGACTACTCAGGTTTTCTTTTCTTTGGTAGAGTTTCGCTTCTTGGCGGAAGCATGTTTGTATCTAGGCGATCCATCACAGGCCGAGGATCGTGTAGCAGACCTCGGGTTGGCTTGTGAGACCAGCCCCTTGGCTTGTTCTCACAGGCCTGTGTTGTATTCGGGGTAGGCCAGTTCAGGCCGGTACCTCTATCGGTACCAGCCAGTCCAGTCCAGTCCCGTCAGTCCGCTGGGGTATACCCCAGCCATTGTCTATTTTCAGTCTCATTCTTCACTTGCACATTTTGGAGTATGTGCGTTGGAGTCTTGCGTGGGGAGCTGCGTTGTGCCACCTCGCTCCCCCCTTTCTTCCTCCATCTCCATCTCTACCACTAGCGGAGCACCACACCTGGTGGGTCCGCTACATCCTCCTTGTCTCCTCCCACTTGTTCAAACAAGAATAATAATAAAAATGTTGAATTGCTGATCCAGAATCAATGTTCGAGTCCCTCTTCTACTGCAGGTATCACTTGAGGTCTACCATAGCCATGACCGCCCCTCTTTCTCTCTTCCTCATGGGCCGAGGCTGTAGTGCGGTGGCGAACTACCAGGGCATCGCCTTGCTCTCCAAAGGACAACACAAAGCAGCTATGGCTGATCTAGCTCAGGCCTCCATGCCTGACTCTGCCTCGAAGCTTCTTGGTGTAGCTCTGCCCCAATTGGGCCTTCCTGCTGCAGCACCCACTAAGGTGATGAAGAGGGCAACCACCATAGCCAGGTAAGGACCTATGTTCCTCCCCTTCCTAGTCCTGGTCTTCTTTCCCTTCCGTGTCCTTGCTCCTTCCGCAGCAGCGCAACTGAGTGCTAGCGCTGCTCCAGCCAGCGCTCCAACGAGTGTGTTGCCAAACTTGCACACCGACAATTAGGAGGAGCAACTGGCTCATCCTAGAGATCCAGCGACCTGCTTGCCTCTTGGCGAGTGACTGCCTAGGCCGCGCCGCCTCAAAGCAACCGGTACCTCCTTCCTTTCGAGAGAAACATCATTGCACACTCTGATATTGCCCATACAGGCCCTAGACTCAGGGTGTTGGACTTGTACCCGCCTAGACCTATCCTACAAGACTACAACTACATGAGAATCAAAGGACTCTGCATCACGATGTATATACAGTTTTGATGCATGAAAGTCTGGGTATGTGCACAGATGAGGAGGCACAACAATTGTGTATGATAGGTCGAACTCATCCTTGCCAAATTGCCAATCATGTCTAATACTTCCCACGAACCGTAATAGAGTGGGAGAAGTTGGTGTGACACTCCCTCTTCTTCTCAAAATTCAGACATCTTGACTTAGACATAACTTTCCACTTCAATATCCGAAGGTTGGCGTTTCTTATTCGCATGATGGATCATTGCTTGCTGTCGCTTGGTCATTGTTGCAATGACAACTTAGAGCAAGCAATTGTACTTGGCACTAAAGCCAGGCCTGTCGGCTATTAAACCAGGTGGCTGTTGAGGGAATAAGTAGGAAAGG